AGAAAACCCAGCAGGCCATTTGCGAGAGGGCCTATCACTCGATGTGATTCTTGGCTGAACACAGACTTTCCCAAACCACCAGTGAAAGATAAGGTTGGAGGAGAGGCTCTGGGGTGAAAGCTCGCCCACAGCCCCGCCCGAGCACCCCTAACCTGAGTCTGTCCCCAACCCTGGCAGCCAGGAGCCCCGGGCCCCCCAGGGAGGGAGCCTGGGTGTGCAGAGGGAAGGATGTGGTCTAGTCACAGCAATGAGGGGCAGAAAGGAAGAACAGGAAGCCCTGGGCCCACTCTGCAGCTCTGAACCTGCACGCGGAAGCAGGTGGAGGGCGGCCAGGCCTCGGGCCGAAGAAGGAAAGAGGATATGCTTGCTCGTCCAGGCTAAGTGCTCAACTGGCAGAAACGTGGAGGCTCCATGAGGCTGTCCGTGCAGCCAGAAGTCGGAGGACCACTTTGAGGGAGAAACAGCCCCATTTCAGAGCACTCCGTACCCATCCGGCCCCAACTCTTAGTATTTCCCTTGTTAATCTCCCATGTCCCAAAGCCCCAGAGCTCCTAAGAAACTTATCTCAGGACTGAATGTGAGCCCAGGTTCATCTCAATTCCCCGTGACAGGCACGCCTGAGCACCTCCTAGGTGTCAGCAGCGTGCTGTGCTGCGCTCAGTCATGTCCAACTCTTTGCAACCGTGTGTACCGTAGCCCGCAAGGCTCCTCTGTCCATGGAATTTTCCAGGCAAGAATACTGGAGTGGGTTGCGGTTTCCTTCGCCAACATGCTAGGTGCATCCAAAGCAGGACTGTTTCTTCCTTCCTACAAGCTCCCAGTTCTACCAGCTCCCCTCATCCCCAGCCAGCTTCCAGCACCCACTGTGTCTCTGGGAGTTCCCATCCACCCCCCAGACACCCCACTTTCCCCCTTTCTTGTGATTTCTCCCAGCCATTTTTAACTTAAGGATTCTCTCCCTGCTAAGCACTGTGGGAAACCTATGCGGGAGCAAAGTTACCATCAGGACAAAGTCCCAACAAACCTCAGAGAGTTCTCTTAATATCTGTCCTTGTGTTCCGTGCAGAGTAAATGGGGCTAGGCCAACCTTCCCCCACCACCCACCCCCATTCGGTCCTAGACAGGACCCCCCGAGTCCTGGAACCAGCCCTGCCCACTCCCCAAGAGCAGGCTGGGTTGGATGCTGGACTCGGGTACACCTGCCACAAGGTGAGCCACCTCCGTACCTGCTTCCTGGTCTTCACTCTGGGCTCCTGGGTTTTCTAGATGAGGGAGGCCCTTCCTAGTGTGACCCCCAGGACCCCCCAGGCACTGTCTCACTGCAAGTGTCCCTTGGCTCCCTGTGAGGGTCTGCAGCCCTGGGAGGCAAGAAGACTCCAGAAGCAGACACCAGTGTGTGTGTGGCGGGTGGGAGGTGCATAGTGGGAGACAGCTGTGTGCTGCAGAGTACTTCTGGGCAAACACATCATTTTTAGAATTATTATTTAATTTATTCAGTTCTGGATCTTGGTTGCTGTGCAGGCTTTTCTCTAGTCGTGGTGAGCGGGGGCTGTCCTTCATTGCAGTGCAGGGTTTTCTCATCGCGGTGGCTTCTCTCATTGTGGGACACAGGCTCTAGGGGGCGCAGGCTTCAGCAGCTGCAGCCCGTGGGCTCAGTATTACAGCACACGGGCTCCACAGCATGTGACATCTTCCCAGACCAGGGACAGAACCTGCATCTCCTGCACTGGCAGGCGGATTCTTCACCACTGGGCCACCAGGGAAGCCCCAAACATCGTTATTGAACCAGTCCCCTTGTTGGTGGCCATTCAAGCTATTTGCAAAAGTGAAACCAAAAAAACCTTCCATCCAGCTCATGGAGCGTGTGTGGGTGGGGCATGTGTAGGATAAATTCCTGGAAGTGGTATCACTGGTCAGAGGGTTTCTACACTTGTCATGTTGATAAGTGTAAGTAAGTAAGTGTTAGTCGCTCAGTCATACCTGACTCTTTGCGACCCCATCGACTGCAGCCCACCAGGCTCCTCTGTCCATGAGATTTTCCAGGCAAGGATACTGGAGTGGGTTGCCATTTCCTTCTCCAGGGGAATCTTCCCAACCCAAGGATCAAACCTGGGTCTCCTGCACTGCAGGCAGATTCTTTACCGACTGAGCTAGTTATCCCCAAATTGCCATCTAGAGAGTTCTACCAACTTCTGTTTCCGCAAACACTATATATTTGCAGACGTAGTGATTATAACTTTGTGCCATGTCCTCTCTGGCAGGAGAAGTCTGTGGGGTGGGGGTGTCCATGTCCCACGTGTACTGGGTCAGCTGCCCGGGGGCCGCCTCTCAAGTTAGCCCCTCCCCACTTGCAGACCCTCCCAGCCAGGTGGGTTTTGTCCCTGCCACTCAAGGCACATGTGTTAACAAATGCTTCCAGTGCTTGCTGTGTGTCCACGCAGGGGAGAGAGTGGACCACATAGGCCCTGCCCTCCTGAGCCTGCCTTCTCCTGGGGAAGATGGCAGGCAAAGGAGTAGGTCATGTGTCACGGGTGAGAGGTGCTAGGGAGCAAAGTAAGCCAGGGGGTGACCGGCAGGGTCACTTACACACAAGCTGATAGGGAATCCCTGGCGGATGAGGCCATGGCGGGGCTAAGCCCCGAGTAAAGTGAGGAAGGATGGTCTGCGGATCGGTGGTGGCTGAGAAGTCCTGGGTGCAAGAGCACAAAAGCCCAGAGTCAGCAGAGCGCCAGCAGGCGTGCCCATCAAGGGCCATCCACAGCTGTCACTGTGGGGCCCACACTGTTACCTTTCCAGATTGTCCCTGGCTCTCCACCGGCTCATCTTTTGAGCAGCGTGAGACCCACCTCTGCTCCTTCCTCCCCAAATGATTTTCTTTTCAGCGTGTCTACTGTGGGACCCGTTCTTGCCCGGTTCTTACATAGAGATACAGTGGAAGGAGGTCTGGTCCCTGAGAATGACTCTGGTCACTGCAGCCCACACTGAGCCATCCCCGGAACTCATTTGACCGTTAGTAAATGCATCGTCAGCCCCCTGATGTGAATGCTTGTGTCCTCTGCTGGGGTTGGTCCTGCACTGGGTGGATATGGCTGTGATACGACAGGAGAAGGGGGAAGGGAAGGTGGGTGTGCGGAGTTTGGATTCCAAGCCTGTAGTGGGAACAGTCCCCGGGTGGTGTGTCATTTCACGCTTCTTGACCACATCGTGCCCAAGACCAGAAACCTTGACTCCAGTGCTCGGTCAGTGGACGAGGAAGCTGACCCTAAGTGCCTTCCTCTTGTACTCTCTGCTTACTCTCCTCCCCTTCCTTTAAAACAAAGACAATGCATAAATCACATCGACCCACATTTGGCGAAGCCCTGCTGTTGCCAGGAGCTGTGCTGGGTTGGGGGCTCGGGAGTGAGAAGCAGGAGTGGGCACCATGCTGGAGTGATGCACAGTCTCCAGGGAAAGTCAGAACGTGACCCGGGCCTTGAAGGGTGGGAAATGTGGCGATGGAGGGTTCCAGCAGGTGGAAAAATCACTTAGATGATCTGGTGGATGGGATGGTGAGTGTGATGGAGTTGGGGTAGAGATGTATTTAAGGGCCGAGAAGAGAAGCATTACTGGCAGAGGGACCCGCCAAAGAAGTAATCCATGGGGCTCAGGGAGAAGAAGATGACAGAGTTTCTGTAAAGCTGTGCCTGGAGGGAATTTTTACTGGGGGTTCAAGGAAAAATGGGGAAAGGGGCCGAAAACAGCAAATATTGGTGAGGATATGGAAAAATCAGAACTCTAGACCCTGCTGGAAGGTGTGTAAAATAACACATCCACTGTCAACAGTTTGTCAGGGTCCCAGAAAGCTGAATATGGAATTACCATATGACCCAGCAATTCCACTCCCATGGATGGACCCAAGAGAGATGGAAACACATGTCCACACAAACGCTCATACACAAGTGTTCATAGCTGCGTTGTTCATGAGAACCAAAAAGTAGAAACGGCCTAAATGTCGGTCAACTGATGAATGGACAAAGAAAATGTGGTGTAATATCACATACACCCTACAGTGTCCTATCTTCCAATCACAAAAAGGAATGAAGAACTGACATGTGCTACAACATACTCTAAAAGCACTGTTAGTGGAAGAAATGAATCACAAAAGAATACATAGTATATGATTCCACCACATAAAATATCCAGAAGAGATATATTTATAGAGATGAAGGACATTAGGTGTTGTCAGGGGATGGGGGTGGGAAGAGGCCTGACAGCTGATGAGTTTGGGTTTCTTTTGGAGACCATGAAAAAGTTCTCGGGTTAGTGGTGATGGTTGGGCAACTTGTGAATCTACTAAAAGCCACTGAATTGTATGCTTAGAAATTGTGAACCTGCTGTGACTGAGTTTTAGCTCAATTTATAAAGAGAGAGAGAAATTGAGAAAATGTAGCGCGGCAGGTAGAGGGGAGCCTGGATCGAGGGCGACCGGTCCCAGCGCTGAGCAGCCTGGCCATGGCCTTGGTCAGGAAGCAATTCCAGCAGTTCCAGTCTGGAATGGTGTGTGTGGTTTTGCAGGCTGGCAGTGCTGGGCCCATAGGGAAGAGCGCTCTGATTTCTGGAAGTCCTCTAGTAGCCGGGGTCTAGGAGCACCTTGAGACTGTAGCTGAGCCCCTCTCACTGATCAGGAAATCTTTGCACGGATTTCATTTTTGCTGACCAGCTGTTCACAACCAGTGACCCCAGCACGCCTGCCGCCACCTTCAAACCCTCCACCTTGCTGTGCCAGCAGGCAGGCCTTCTGACCTGGCCGAAGTACCCATGCTCCGTGACCACGGCGGTCCTCCAGCTGCTCCAGTCCCATCAGAGAAATCACTGCTCCCTGGAGCAGTGCTCCTGATGCCCTTCAGCCTTCGTGGGCTGTCTCTCTGGCCTGGCGCCCCCGGGAGATGCTTGTTCCAGGCTGCAGGGGGCTGGGAGCAGCGCACCGCCCTCAGTGCTTGTTCTCTGCCCTTCTCTTCCAGCTCTTGCAATCTCAGGATGTGAAGGAAGATGCCGTCCTGTGCTGCTCAATGGAGGTAAGCAGTGTGGCTTAGACCTGTCTCACCTCAGACCCATCCCTCTCAGCTTAACAGTGTGGGAGGCCCAAGGACCATCGGAGGGGTCCACAAGTCTGGGGCTGGTAGTGGGAGACGACTTGCTGAGTGGACCCAGGGTTCCGTCCACTGCAGGGGACAGAACCGCTGATTCTCTGGCGAGAGGGATGGGGTACTAGCCTCGTTCACCTTCCCTCTGCCCCCAAGACCACCTCCTTCTCAGCCAGGTGCAGCACATAAATGACTTAGAAGATCCCAAGTGATGCCCTGCCCCCGGTATCTCCCCTGGCTTTGGTGGCAGCGGGGTTAGAGGGGAGGTGCTGAGGTTGAACCCCCAGGTCGCACTGCCCATTTCCAAGCTGCCCCCATGGGAAGTCCCACCCCTGTTCGCAAGGTGTGGCGGCTGCTCTCCGAGCTCATGCTTTAGTCACTTGGCCAGGGCTCAGTTAAAGGTGCAAAGCTGTGCCCTCAGAAAACAACCCAAGGGGACCTCCCTGCTGGTCCAGTGGTCAGGACTCTGCGCTTTCACTACTAAGGGCACAGGTTCGATCCCTGGCCGAGGGACTAAGATTGCACAAACCAGATAGAAAAAAAGACAAGAAAACAGCCCAGGGCCATTCAGAGGGAAGTCTGGTGAGGGCAGGGGCTTCCAGGGCCCACACCCAGGACATGCCAGGGCTCCAGCTAGACACCCTGCACGGGGCTCCAGGCAGGGGAGATAAGAGAGGAGGGGAAAGCATGGCCCCGGCCTCCAGGCAGCTTGTGGTCTGGCTGTGGATAGAGATCTCGCTCACAGGCGGGAGTGGATGAGGCAATGTGGAGAATACATGTGGGTACAGAGCTCACATCTCCGAGGAGTTAGGGGAGAGGTCAGGTTATGCCAGGATGTTCAAGGAAGGTTTGGGGAAGAAGGCAGAGCCCTGAGAAATGGGTGGGCTGAAGCAGGGGTGGGGTGGGGACGGGGACTTGGATTCCAGGGGCTGCCTGCAGGGTGGTCTGATCCAGAAGATCCGGGCTCCTCCTAACTCCGAGGGCTTTCCAAGACCATCAGGGGCCTCTCTGGGGGGCAGGCCCTCCTGCAGGCCTTCTGCCCCAGATCCTGTTTCCTCCCTTCCGTGTCGTTAGTGTGGGCAGAGGTCGGTTGTGGGGATGGTGGGGCTGGAGAGGAGGAGGAGAGGAACGGGAGACCTCATCCATGCTCCTGGGTTCCACATGGACAGACGGCGGGTAACAACGACCAAGTTCATTTCCAGAGAGATGTCCTAGCTAGAGAAGGTTAACGTGGGGCCACCTGGTCACCCTCGAAGGAAGCAGGTCACATAGCCATTGAGGGTGCGGGCGGTGGTCAGGGAAGGCTTCCTGTAAGAAGGGAGGCAAGTGGATGAAGGGAGAAGCATCATGTTCCTGGTGAGGACTCTTCACAGCCCCGGACAGCAGGCAATATCCTGACTCCTCTCATTCCTCCTGCAGATTGGGTGTTAAAGGTGGGCTCTCACACTGGCTGTCTCCACCCTCCACCCTCTCCATCCCTCTGTCCTGGGACAAGAGCCCTGGGCCCCGCACCTTCCTGGGATAATCCAGTGATTTCCTGTCCCTGCCCCCCCAGCAAGCATCCCTCACCGAGATGGACAGAGCAGGAGTCCTTTCGGGGTCCAGCACGCGTCCTTCCCCCACTTCTCTGCCCACAGCTGCAGAGCACAGGCCGACTGCTGGAGGAGCAGTTGCCAGAGATGATGGCCGAGCTCCTGGCCAGCGCCCGCGACAAGATGCTGTGCCCCTCGGAATCCATGCTGACCCGGTCCCTGCTGCTGGAGGTCATCGAGCTGCACGCCAACAGCTGGAACCCCCTGACGCCCCCCATCACGCAGTACTACAACAGAACCATCCAGAAACTGACCGCCTGACAGCTCAGGGGCCTGGCGGGCAGCCCGCAGGGCAGCTGGGGCCCTGGTGCTCAGAGCCAGATGGACAGGCGGGAAGACAGGGGTGGCCCTGGCGGGAGAGAGGCGTGGGGAGGAAGGCAGGCAGAGCCGGCGGCCAGTCTGGAGCCAGACGGGGAAGGGACCGAAGCCCTGGGAGGAGTGACCCCCCATCCGACGAGCCCCCCGGCCCGAGCATGCGGCAGCTCGCACTAGTAAGGGCAGCATGTGTCTTCTCCACGGTGGCCCGGCCCTCCTCCTCCCCGCCCCCCCATGCAAGGAGTCCCCCCCAACTCCCCCCGCCGGGCTGTGCTGTGTTCAGGGGTTCATCCCCTCAGAGGCCGTGGCAGCCCGCATGCTGGGGTACAGCTTGGGTCAGAAAGGACCTCAGAAGGCTGGAAAAAGTGGGTCGGAGACGGGTTTGCATTGTTCCCGCGCGCTGTCAGCCACAGTCGCCAACTGGCAGCAGGCGACATGTAGCAGATGTCCGGGAGGACAAAGGCAGGCACAGTCCCCACCAGCCGCCCCTAATTGACGGCCTTTGTCCGCGCGGCCGGCGGGCTGGGGGACAGGGGCGATCTCCTCCAACCTTCACGTTCCGCCCTCCCACCTTCCAGCCTCTCCCTCAGCGCCCCCACCAACCCATCATCCCCCCCTCCCCGCCGCCCGCGACCCTGAGCTGCAGGCCCACAGGGGGCCGGGGGGCCTCGAGGGGAGACGGAGTTTGCCGTTCTGCTTGCACTCTTTTGTTTTATTGTGTTTTACTGTTTTCAAAAGTCAGCTGCTTTGAAGTCTCCTCTCTCAGTGCCGAGGGCCCCGCAATGTGATCACACAGTCAGCCCCGCGAGAACCCCCTGATTAGTGGGAGATCAAACCCGGCCCCCCTCTGGAAGGATCCTAGCCACAGACAGCTTGCCAGTAGCCAATTAGGGTAATTGGAAACTTCTGCCCCTGCAGGGGTCCCCGCTGGAACCCTGTGCTTCTCGGCCCCTGGCTTCTTCCCTGGCTTCTCTGTTCTCCATTTCTAGCTTCCTCCCTCAAAGGGCCGATCCTGTCGCCGCTGGGAGAGCATTAAACCCGTCCTGGCCCGGGGCCTGGGAGTGAACCGGGCTCAGAAAGAGGCTAGCAAATTAAAAACCGGAAAGCTCAGTGATGCTTCCCCATGCCACACACAGAGGTGTTTTCTCAAGCTTTCCCTGGATGGGGAGATACAGGGGAGACGGGGACACCTCGTTCCCTAGGACTGACTCAATGAGCTGAGTCCTCAGCTGTGGTCTGTGCCCGGGGGTGGGGAGATCTCTGGGTACTACTGCCCCAAGGCTGTTGGGAGGGGTGTGTTTGCTGAGTCATGAGCAGGACTATCAGGGGATCCCAGCAAGCCACCCGCTTTCCAGGCTGGCATCAAGGCTGGGGATGCTTGGAGGGGCCAAGTCCTGGGGGCAGCCCCTTCTCTGACGGCTGGGGAGGAGGATGAGGGGTGGGCCCTGGGAGGCTGGCTTCTGGTCGTCTCTGGTGTCTACACAGCCCCACTCCTGGTCTGGAGCCCCCATTTCCATGAGGCCCCAGAAGGCGGCCTGAGCCCAGCAGTGTCCTCAGTTGTTCTTCCGTTGAGGCCTGGGTCACCTTGAACCCCCGCCCCTGGCTGACTGGTCTGATCAGGCTGGAAGAAATGTCCCTTTGTTGAGTCTGGCAGAGCAGGCGGGTGGGGGTGGGGGGCGGCTTCCTCTGTACCCCCTGGCGTATCCATCCCACCAGTCGCCACCTGCCTGCCAGTCCCCCAGGAAGAGCCTGTTGGGGAACAAGGGGAGGGGCACCGTTTATCTGGAAGGGGTCGGTGGCTTCTGCCAAGGAGCCCACACTGCCCCACTTCTGCCTTCTCCACCCCCCTCCTCTTCCTCCCAAGCTCCTCCATCGTCTCTTCACTGCCTTTCCTGCACCTTTTGGCTCAGCCTGGGCCCAGGGACACCAGAGGCCCCACGGGAGCCCTTGAGGGAAGAGCTGGGCTGACGTCAGGATGCTCAGAGAGGCACCCGGGAAATCGTGGCCCCACAGGGTCAAGCAGCCCCCAGCCCGGCAAGCAGCCGCTCCCTGGCCTCCCTCCGAGATGCGCACCTGGGCTGAAGGAAGGCCCTGCTTCCCTCAAGTGGGGCGGGGGGTGTCTGTGAATGTGAGTGTGCGTGTGAATGTGTGTGTGTGTGTGTGTGTCTACATGAGTGCATCTACTGAGAAGGAAGCAAGACCCTGGAAGAAGGCTGAAGCCGACAAGTGAGGCTGAAAGTGGAGGGAGCAGAAGAGGGGGTCTCCCTCTGACCCCAGCCTTGGGCTCAGAGAGCAGGCTTCCTGAAGGGGCCCCAGACACCGTGCACTCGGGGGTGACGTTCCCTGGACGGCCGGGCAAGGTGACGGCTCGGGCACCACCGTCCTAATGGCCCCTTCCTCCTGACAGCCTGCCCTGGTGCTCTTGCCTCAGGGCCAGCCCCTCCTTGGCTGTCAGGACCAGAGTGGGGAGGAGTGAGATATAAATATGTACACATATATAAATATATTTTTAATTATGTGTCGTGTCGCCGTGGCCTCCAGACATATATGATTCGCTTAGTTGATTCCATTGCTTGAGAGCGCTTCCTGGCTGATCCACATAACCGTCAAAGCTGTTTTTCTAAATGCAGGTTGCTGCTACTTTTTCAGACGTGGAAGGAAAACGGTCCAAAAAAAAAAAAATTGTGTGTTTTTTTTTTTTTTTAAGGAAATAACAGTAAAGGCTAAACTCTGAGGTCTGAGGCAGCTTCTCATGGGAGACTACTTAGGAACTCGGGGGCAGACGGGTGCCCTCAGACCTCCGCCCCCTCCCCAGGCCAGATCCCCCCCGCCGACAGGGAGGCCGTGTCCGAGTTGACCTCTGAATGTATTTGATGGGAGGCTAAACCGGGTGTTGCATAGTCCTCTAAGGACTCAGTGCTCTTCTAAGGCTTGTGTGGTTTTCCCTCCTTGCCTGTGGCACCCTCAGCTCTGGGGAGGCGAGGTCCCGCCATCCCGACGCGCGGCCTGTCTCTCCTGCCAGTCAAGACGAGGCAGTCATGGTTTTCCTCCCAGGCAGCTGGCCTGCTCGCCACAGTCCTGCTCCCACGGGCCTCATGGCTCTGCCTGAGCTCTGGGACCGCAGCCCCGAGAAGGCACCCCCCCCCCACCCCCAGCCTCCCTTGGACAAGGCGGGAGCCCCCACCACCCTCCCCAGCGGGTGTGCACCCCCAAACCCACTCTTCGTCTGCTCGTCCTTCCTTATCCTGTCTGTACACCTTTAAGGTTTGGGGATCGTCCTGTCCATTCGTGTAAATGTAAATGTGGGCCGAGTCGGTATTTATTCTAATTTTTATTTTTTATTTTATTTTCTCTGATGGATGGGGAGGGAGGGGGTGTGGGAAACGTACCGCTCTGATCACGCCCTGGGCAGCTGCGAGGGGCGGGGGCCCAGACAGCCAGGCCACCGCAGGAGCAGCCCCGAGGGGCCGCACAGACGCCAAGCCCCAGGCTCTTATCTGGCATCAGAAGCCGGCCAGTGTTCCTCGTCCCGACAGACTGTCCGGCCTGCCCGCGAAGTCCTGTCCCTCGGCTGCCGGCGCTCTGTTGGGAAACCGCAGGCTGGGCCTCTGAGGACACAGATCAGAGAAAACTCTCCTCCTCTGCTCGGGACACTGGCGTAAAAGGGCTGCCTGCCTCGCCCGAGCCAGCTGGGAGCCTGGCGACGGGTCCTACCTCCCCAGAGCAGGGGCCCGGGGGGCTTTCCGCCAAAGCTGCAGCAGAACCCTGCTCGTGCAACGACCACCTTCCCTCCCTTGGTATGTCCTGCTTTCCAGCTCAACCCAAACTACAAGTGGGTTTAAAAATAAACCACACCAAAAAACAGAAATGTCCCGAATCTGTTGTTCTTTGCGCGGTTAGCAAAGGAAATGTCTCCCAGAAGCTTTTTTGCCTCAACGGGTCCTGGCAGAGGCCTCGGAGGAGCCCATACCCAGGTGATGAGCTGGTGAGAAGATTCCCTGAGTTGGGCCGCAGTGGGGAGTGGGGCCTGGGGCTAGAGAAGGTTGGGAAGAAGTGGTCCAGGAGAACATGGGGGTGAGAGAGATATTCCATCCCCCCGCCCCCCAAATGGGAACTGTGGCCTGTGCAAGGTAAGAGGATTAACCCAAGTCCTGCACAAAACTTTTCCACTAAAGATTTGGTTTGCTGCATGTTTAACCACCTCATTCCCCAAACCTACCCCTCCTGTGAAAAAGTCACTGTGACACTTGGCAAAGACTCATTTTAAGAAGGCTGAGACTTGGGCAAAGCAGCTTCCAGAAGTCAGCGGCAAGTGGCTGTCCTGTCCCCATAGGTCAAGTCAGTCTTTCATCCGAGGGTCCCAGAGGGCCCCAGTAATTTCTTTTCCTGTGGTGACATGTTCTTTGTTTTGCACAATCCCGTCCATGACAAGACACTGGGGACACTGCCTCCTGGTAACAGGTCCCCCTGGGGATTCTTTCACTGGCTAGACTTTGCCAGGCTTTCAGCTTCTCAGAGTGGCAACTGGAACACCCACAACCCTCATGATTCCCTGGCCGGGCCAGGACGGAGGCCAGGCCAGCCCAGCAGCCTGTGGAGGGTGTGCGGAGATTACTGACCCACATGAAGCCGGGCAGCTCTGGCCTGAAGTACACCGGTTGGTAGAGGGAGATAACTTTTTAATTAGATGATTGTCATTTGTGAAGCTGAAGTTTTTAAGCCAAAGGGCTGGCGTAGAAAGTGGGGTCAAAATGCCAGGTGTTGGAGGGTAGAAGAAAGTGTACATGATGCTAAGTCCCTTCAGTCATGTCCAACTCTGTGCCACCCTATGGACTGTAGCCCACCAGGCTCCTCTGTCCATGGGATTCTCCAGGCAAGAAAATTGGAGTGGGTTACCATGCGCTCCTCCAGGGATCTTCCCACGCCAGGAATCAAACCCACATCACTTACATCCCCTTCATTGGCAGGCAGGTTCTTTACCACTAGTGCTACTTGGGAAGCCCAGAAGAAAAGGTAAGGAAAGAGAAATCTTACCAAACGCTGTTCATCAGAAGAGATTTTTCTGGGTAAACTCGTTCTGGTTCCAGAAGTTGACTGAAAACTACAGAACAAATATTCTGAATAATAAATGTTTTGATTCTGTATTTCACCACTATCTCTGCTTATAGTGTTATCTGTCCTGCTGAGGGTGGGTTACCTTTGTCCTAAGGTCTGTAGGAAGGAAGGACAGGAAGACTATTTCGGATGAATGAACTAGAATACACACGTGTGCGCACCCACATGACTTGTAGTACCGAGGCAAAGATAGCAGAAGAAGCAGGGATTGAGATGGTAAAGAGAAAGCGGTTATACTTTAATATTAAAGCTTGTCTCTCATCCCCATGGTTTTCTCAGGGCCTCACATACACTGTCTCAGGTGGTTCTGGGGTGTAGGCAGGTGAGTATTTTTGATTCACATTTTACAGATGAGAAGACCAAGGCTCAGAGAGGTGATGTGATTTGACCCAGAGCCCAGGGCCAGTCAGTGGAAGAGTCGGGGGCCAGAGTGAGAGACAGGTGCCCCCGTCCCCTCAGCCCAGAAAGCGAGTGTGTCTTCGATAGCGTCCACTCCAACTGCAGTGAGCACAGTCCCAGGGAGCTGGCCAGTTCCACCCTGCAGGCAGAAGGAGCAGCCCGCTGCTGGCTTGAGACAGCCATGGGCAGGCTACATGGTCTTATCCCCCTCCTCCTCCAAGGAAGGGAGGAGCATGATGAAATACCCTCAGATCAGAGAATTGCAGAGGAGTGGGGAGGGAGAGGAGCCAGCTTGCAAAGTTCCCTGCTATTCTATGAAAGAATACATTGTAACATCTTGCAAACTGGATCTCCTCCAGGTCAGAGGTCCTCAAGGTGGGTGGGAGGTAAGGGAGACCCTCCTAGAGGGGGGCACATCCAGGCCTGAGATCAATATTCAAATTGCCTGGGAAATTTTTCAAACTACATGCTGAGAAAGAACACACATATGCCAACATTTTCCGAATTCTGGTATTAGGGGGCCCCTCTTCTTACTGGTGAGCACACACCGGGCCATACCCTCTGAGTAACAGGAGAGAACACAGCATGTGCGGACTGCAGACAGCGATCTCAGGAAGGCAGAACTAACCCATGGAAACAGTGGGCCACATTGCCACAGTCTCACCTCAGTTTGCAGTATTGGGACCTGTCGTTGGAGCTGAGACGAGGCTGCCCAGCACATTAGCAATGGTGGAAAGGGCTCCAGGACAGTCCTTGAGTGTGGGCAGAGTATATACCATGGACTCCAGGCCATGTTATGACTCTCACAGCCCCTGGGCCCTTGTATGCCCACATAGGCCCTTCCTTCTTAAAATCATATAAAAACTGTGTTTTGTGACTATCTTGGCACAAAGATGAAGATAATACTATTCCTTATTAAAACATTTTTTTTTCAGCCTAAAAATTCATTTATTTCTGATCTTAAAGAGCTGAAAACAGGGCTTACCTGGTGGCTCAGTGGTAAAGAATCCACCTGCCAAATGCAGGAGACACGGATTTGATCCCTGGTCCGGGAAGATGCAATGAAGAACTAAGCCCATGCGCCCCAACTATTGAGCCTGTGCTCTGGAGGCTGGGAGCTGAAAATACTGAGCCACCTGCTGCAACTACAGAAAGCTGGGTGACTGAGAGCCCATGCTCTGCAAGAGGAGCCACTACAATGAGAAGCCCAAGCGCTGCAACTAGACCTCAGCCCCCGGCTTGCTGCATGTAGAGGAAAGCCCGAGCAGTGATGAAGACCCAAAGCAGCCAAAAGTAGATTTTTTTAAAAAGCTGGAAACCCCTTCCAGGCCCCTAAATTACTCATACCCTGGGTAACTGTGCCTGAGGCACAGGCTGACTCCGCATGGACATCTTATCTGAGCCAGAAACCTCACCTTTCCCTGCCCACCTGGTCTCAGCACGAGCCTGGGCAGGGGAGGGTGGGCAGAAGGCCGCTCACGCCGCCGCCTCCCGAGGAAGCAGTTGGCCTACTCTGGAAGCAGATGCGGTAGCTGCTTCTGCCCAGACTGGCCGCCAGCCAGCCAGCCAGCCTGGAGTGTGAGGCAAGCAGCTGTGTTTGCCTGGCCAAGGAGACTGGCCCAGAGAGCCCAACCCGCCACACAGCCCTGGCTCCCGGCCACCGCCCTTTCACACACATCATCTGGCCTCACCGGGGCCCTGCGAGGGAAGTAAATACCATCCTTACACCCATTTTACATCTGGGGAAACGTGTGTCGGGGACCACACCATCTGTGGACAGCACCCTGTAGTTTTCAAATACATGATGATTCTGTTTGATCTTCACAAATAGCCCTGGCAGATGACAGACATTTTTCACTCCATTTAAAAGGTAGGAGAAACAGACTCAGGGGAGCAGCGGCAAGTCCAAGTCATGTGACCACCCCCCGCCCCAGGCACAAGGGCCTTGAAATGCTGCCGTCTTAGTCCGGAGAGAGGCCCGGTGGGCGTGAGTGGGGACCAGACTGAGGACCCAGGTTCTCGGCCTCTGGGATTGGTGGCCGTCTTGGGACCTGAGCCTCCTCACCCCGCTGTGTCCCCCAACTCTAATCGGCCTGCTGGCTCCCAGGGACAAGCAGGGTTCAGGTCAGGGCTCTTAGACCCCCTGGTGACTTACCAGAACATCCAGGGATGTGGCCCTCGACACTTCACAAACTGGTGTGTAATCAGTGCTTTCTCTGTTTAAGCAGGGCCAGGAGACATCTCTGCCGCAGGCTTGACTCAGAGGGGAAGGAGATGCGCCCGGGCTGAGGAGGGGTCAGGAACTCCTGAGGCCCATGCCAGGGACGGGAAGGGTGCTTGGGGTCTATTTCCATTAACTATGCCACACAACTCTGCGCAACCAATTGTGTAACCAGCCAGCTTGAAATCTCAGGCCTAACAACACAGATGTTCACCACTCTTATTTACGGGTCTGCAGATGGGCTGGGGTTTGGATGACACTGGCTGGATGGTAGAGGACCGAAGCATGGTCTCATGTTCCGTGGACAGTGGTTGAAGTTACAGGTGTGTACCTCCTCCAAGAAGTTCTCCATGACTGCTCCCCTGGTCAGGGTTCCAGGTGCCCCCTCTGGGTTCCTACAGCTCCCACAGATGCTTCGACCATGACCCAGCTCACTGTGTGTGACCACCGGCCTGCAGGGGGCTGATGTCCACGGACTGTGAGCTTGACCTCGTCCACTCTGCGTCTCCAGCCCTGAGCCCAGGGCCTGGCTCAAGCAGGTGCTGAACAAGCCTGTGGGGGCTAAACAGGTGAACCGTGACAGAGCGGTCCAGGTGATAAGTCACAGAGGGGCACAGGGAGGGAAGAGCTGAGCTGTGCCTTAAGCCAGGTCCTGGAGGAGGGGTACGCAGAGCAGTGGGGTCCCCACACGGGACGGGGACTTCCAGTGGGGAGGCCGGGGGTGCCCCCAGGGCCCTGAGGTCTAACGGTGCAGAGAGGGCTGCAGGTGGGGGGACTGCTGTGCCATGGGGGGCAGGCCAGAGGCCCGGGGAGCACAGACCCAGCCTCTGTGCAAATGAGACAGTGCCCTTCCTCCCTCAGGGGCACCCAGGCCTGCCCAGGACCCTGCTCGGACCCCTCAGTTAGGCCTGGAGGGGAGGCCACAGC